GTCGATGGTTGTGTCAACTGAACATGTTGTGTGGAAGGCGTATACGCCTACCAGTATTCTAGATGACTCTTCTTGGAACTACTAGTATGCGCAAAGTTGGTTATTAAACTTCATAACACAAAATGCTTAATTTTACGGCCGCCTGATATCAGCTCGACTGTTAACAAAAGTCAACTTAACAGGTCCGTACCTTCGTAAATACAATTTTACATCTGGATAATTGAAAATCGAGAAAGAAATTCCAACTTTGGGTGAAATTGTTATCTTCTCGGAAGTAAGTTGTCCTGTTGGTAAAGTAATGTTTTCTAAACACTAAATACTTCTTTTTGTCTCTGATATTACTATCCGGCGGTGGAAATGGCTGTTACTTCCAGGATAATTGTCTAGAGGACAACAATTTTATCCTATAAAACTGGGCCCTGAATTTCGAGTTACCTTAAAGTTTCCGGCAGTATCCATGTAAATGGTCCGCTTCCCAAAGTCCACCTTGACGGCCCTGGCGTAAGAAACGTCTTCTTGGTTGATGGGATGTTTGTTCTTTATCAAAATGCGAAAACTTGAAAAAGATGGCATTTTCATAATACGTTTATGTAACAATTCAGCATAGGAATGCATACAATTTCTGTTGGAGCATTGTACATTTTAATACACATTTATGAAAAATGGATTTATTGATAAATGTATATAATAATAATAATAATAATAATAATAATAATAATAATAATAATACATTTAACGTATTATATCCTGACAAACTGCAATTTTCACAAGTTTTCTTGAGTTAAATGAAATGTAATAATAAAAGTAGCTTAAAACCAGAAAGTGTTGTTAACAATTAAGTCATTCAAATGGCTTTCAACTTCAGTATGATTCACGACGATGCTCTTAGACCAAATCATAGCTAATGAAAAAGAACCTCACCCGATGAATCGATCATCCTTTGAGCCATGAGAACACGTGCTTGCTAAGTTATACGCGCATGCGCCCTGGTATTGAAGGGTGACGCCATCACAGGTATGGTAGTGCGGATCTCCCGTTGCCTTGCATTCACACCCGCCCCCTGAGATTGATATAGAGTACTTTAAATGTGCATAAATTATACCCAAATGAACATAGTGCAATGTTAGGTAACATAAACGAGTGACATTTTAGAGAAGGAATTGAGAAACAAAAGTTTATACTACAAGTGAAAATACTATGTTCTCCCTTTTGGATTCATACGTGTGCATTCTCTAATGAAAAAAATAACACACACACATACGCACGAGCGCGAACACACACACATGAACACGCACGCACATATCTGTATAAGGCACAAACGCACGCAGACACAAAAGAAGCCATATGATGTACCAGCAAAATCAGCTGCTAGTGACATTAGCACACACACACGCGCGCGTGCCCGCATAAGCACAGGCACAAATTCCTTCAATCGCTTGAAAATGATTTTGTACAAGAATGTACTTACCGAAGCCATAGACGGTCCGTGCAAAGACGAAAAGAAGCAGAAAAGCATTTGATCCCCAAGCGCGCATTTTCTGCAATAGCAATAATTCACTATACGCAAATTTCGAAACAATATATAATTAAACTTAAACAAATATATCGTAAGCTTAAACAAATGTAGAATATAATCTTTATCTTGATGTCCATGGTATTAACAGTCGATCTAATGACTTTTGATACATATGTAATACTAGGGATTCGTGGTGCGCTCTTCATCATTATATACTAATTATTATTTTTTAATTTGAGATATTTGCATCCTGCTTTGAATCGGCGGTTGCATACATATTTATGCCTCCTAGTATTTTACAAATGAGCATATGAAATAAAATATGTTATTGCTGAATCACAGATTCAGATGTTCAGAAGAAAAGAAATTAGACTAGCTGTACCCCGAAGGGGGCACTGTTTATGCAGGCAAGGTGGGTCACATGGGGTATCGTTCTCCACCTTACTTCGTTCAGCAAGTTAAATGTACCAGATGTGACATTTTAAAAATTGAGGGTACAGACATTTGAAAATAAGTTGGTTTTGTCTCTTTTTTTCAAGTATTCATATTTTATTATATTTTGGAGGTGGGGAGGGGGGGGGGTAGGAGGGAAGAAGAGAAGACAGGAGTATTTCCAAATCTCGGGGGCACTTCGTGTGCCCACCCCTGGGTTTGCAATTGGTTCAGTAATGTGGAAAAGTAGCATACACGTACCTTTGTTTTGTAGTTGTTTTTTTTTCTGTTTTGAAGGTTGGCATTCGGTGATTATTCCTAAATCCGAAATAAACACCACAAATGATGTTAATAAAGTTCAGCGTTGCATTCTGTCAGCATGCTATCGTCTCATTATGTGTCAAGCGTATCGAATGTTAGTGACTCATTGAATTTTCTATGAAATTAAAAGCTGCCGTTTCCCACTCCTCAATAAAGTTATTGACGATAAGCGCAATTATGTTTTTTTCTATCTATTTCATTTTTTATAACGTATCTTATACGCAGAGAAGCTGTTACTTTTCATAAAAATCATATTACTATATCCTTCCAATCAATACCGGTGCAACGCAAATAATTTAAAATCTGGCACCAAGTGCATTTCAACCGTCCTAAAGCAAACCTGATGAAAAGAATGCATTCAAAAAAGGCATGTACTCAGTACGTTTTATTACATATAACAAAATGGAAAAACCTACATGTAAATACTTTTTTAAGTTGTTATACAGGTATGTAGGTAACAAAAGACACAATGATAAATAAACGACCGTTCTTTTTAATATTTGGCCAAACGTTTTACCACCGCCTCACCGGAGGTGTTCATTTTGAATGTAAATTTATCGCTGTTATTTAGATCTGCAAAAGAAGTGTTTCTGTTGTGTTCCATTTATAAGAGAAGTATTCTGTGAAAGACGAATTTATGGGCAAACAATGAAAAAATGCTCTCTTTATCCTGTGTAAATGCATATTACATTAACATTTGCATAGATATGATGTAATTACTTTATGAGTCTCATATTCTGGAGGGAGAATGGGGCAACTTAACGACAAATAATTTGCGAAAAGGTGGAGTTTTAAAGTCATTTTTTTCCACTGCCAAACACATTCTGTAAATGGTTGAAACACTTGGTATAGTTTGCACACTATACTGTATTACAAATGATGCATATATGAAGATAAACGGAAACGGCATGAAAAGAAATATACCGAATGCTTCAAAATAGTTATTAAACTGAAACGTAATTCATTTCTTATGCATTAGAAATAGATGTAATTTGGATCAGCCTTGTCTTTTACAGACCAAATCGTCGTTTAAAAGTGATTTTTAACACTCTAGAAGCACTAACAGAAAAGCCAAGGACCAAGCCTGTATGGCTACCTCGAAGGTTGCCATAATGAGACACCGTGCCTTAATGTTCAAACTCTTTAAATTTGGAAACAACAGAAATATGCTTTAACGCTTTCATAGCATTTTTAAATTTCATAGCATTCTTAAAAGACAAAACGCCCGTTATATATTTTAATGACGTTATAGTACCATAAAACCTGCAAACCACAGTAAACCAAATAATTTTCACAATTTACAATGGTGACGTTTTGCATAATATGAATCAAACGGGTGTACAAAACAGGGCTGCTTTGTCACCCTCGGCTACTATGTCTTACTTACGAGTCGTAGCTCTCAGCGCTCCCCACCAAACTTCTGACTGTCTGACAGTGAACCGGGACGACTTATTGTTAAAACAGTCGGCGTTGAACATCTGCTTCATATGCTGCACACCATTACCGATCATAACATATGCCACGCTCTTGATAGATCTCTCATTCAATATGCAAAAATTGCCTCATTTGTCCCAATTTGCAACACGAAATACTGATGTTAAGATGTGTTGAACTGGTATGATGGTGAGACGCTACATAAAGGATGTACGATATCGTAAGAGTCTTCATGGCCTTAGTTGACATTAATTAAATGCAAGTTTCAGAGGTCTTAAGAGATACAAAAATCGCAGTGGACGGAGGGGGGCGGCAGTGCCGACTCCTACACCTTGTGAGACATACCCATCTCCCTTTCTCAAAATAATAATAATAATAATAATAATAATAATAATAATAATAATAATAATTTATATATGGTACCCATGTGGTTTACTGCTGCAATTATATAGAGCAAAACAAGGGTACACCTGCAGCCAGCCCTTTACCCCCAGTTTTTAATTCTTGGATCAGCACGTGTACACAATACATGTGTGTATAAGGATGCGTTTTTACACAAACATACAAAGGTAAGATTTATGGCACAAAATACAATTTTATACACAGACACAAACACCAAAGCCCCTAAAAATACGCTATACACGTACACTTAACCACCGAATTACAAATTACAAATCTTTACAACCGTTAACAACATGCATATTTTAATTAAAATTCTACAGACTTGTTTCCCAATAGTACTTTCATTTTCTTTTTAGTTCCCATTGTGCATTAGCACCCTGGTTTAAGTTTACTGGCCTTTACATGGCTTTAATATGTTTCATTTCCCAACTCGTCAGAATTCAGAACCCAATTCGTCTGAACCCACAAAGTGTTTTCTACTGTAATATACTTGTACTTTCTGCTCATGGTGAAGTGAATATTCTACCTGTCTTACATATACATGTACTTTTTCGTTGGGTCAAGGTCGTACCACACATCACCAAGGTCAACTACTGTGTATTTATTATTTATATCCAATGAAATTCTAATATTGCTGCGTTATCTATCCCGCAGTTAATTACTGACTGGTAAAAACTTTTTAGAATTTTTGAAGAGGGCTTCCCTTTGTCTATGGATGGGCCATTTACAAAAAATGAATGGGGAAACTCGATTATTTATTATCAAACACATTATTTTGACTAAATGCAATATTAAAAAATAATCCCACTTGGAGTGCATAAAAGCCTGGCAGAAAAAGACAGAAAATGTAATTATAAGAGGAGCTTATTTTGAGGTGGAAACAGCGACTTTTTTGTTGTGTAGAAGCAACATACATGTTAATTGATTTTGATACCACTTTGACCGACATTTGTTTTCAGACACACCTTGTTTGTTTAAAGATTTATAACCAATATTTGATCAACCAAAATGGCAAAGTCGGATTGGAATGCTAGACATCAACCCATTCACAAATGCAAATTTTCTTTATTTCCAACAATAATTAATTGGATATATATATATATATATATATATATATATATATATATATATATATATATATATATATATATATATATATATATATAATTTTTGCTTCGGTTCCGCGTCAACTCGGCCGTACGCACGTGTATTCGGTACCATGACTAATTTGTAATGTGTTTTGTCGTAGTTTTCAGACAAATGTCCTTGTTTAACAAAAATCATTCTACTTCTTATTTTCCTATATGGCATTGTTACACTTTTTTATATGCAGAGTCAGTTTTACAACTGTGAGTGTTCCATGATATAGCACAGCGACACAGAAATCATTTCACTATTACACTATACCCCTGTAGTATTCATGACGCTGGCTTCAGTGGTCGGTCAATTACGCCCGCTGCGTATATAAAGATTTCCTGGCGTACTATGGCGTATAATGACCCTTATTTGAATTATACTGCTGTTGGTTAAATACTGTTCACAGGCTACATGTCCCTTCCGCACGCAACTGAGTTATTTTCCTAGGTCTCCGGGTTGACATGCAGCAAAGAGTACTAGAAGTACAAGCGGTCAGCTGGCCGACACTTACACTCTGAGCTTGAGACCTTTGTATAAAAACTATGGGTTTTCCTGGTAATTTCCACACTTTTTCCGTCATTGAAAAGTTATATCTTTAAAAAATCCCCAAAAGCTTTAAGGGCTCATTCACAATGAAGCTCTCGGTTTACGTAGATCGATCTAACACCGCTGGAATCTAACTTGCTGAATGCAATCAGTTTGACAGATCAACACACTTTCTCTTGTTTCCAACATATTCCTTTAATAACCAGCTTCTCTGTATTCTACCCAGTGCTAGGAAGATGCATGTTAATCTGTTTAACTGACTGCATTCAGCGTGAGTCCCTGCAAAGATGGATCGATCTACGTAGACCACTATTTTCAATGGTGATGCGCCAAAAGTCCATCTCGTGATGGAAAAAGAGACTGTTGAATATTTCAGTCGTTTACTCACGGTGAAATGCATAACTTATGATCTTGAAAACAATTTTATATTGGCAATAAAGAGACCACTGCTGAAATAATGGTCTTATGCTGTGTGTATATTCAGAGCCCAAATACTGAATTTGTTCTTCTGGCCTGTCTATTTTTATACTCGTCTGTGACTGTACTTAATATCATGCGTAACAAGTGCTTTAAAACAAAAAATAATACGGAAATTGCGAAATTTGCTAAATATACATTTCACAAATGTGTTCGCTTGTTGCAGTTGAAAGGTGGAACGAGTCTGAGTACATTAAATCCAGGTTTCTTTAGGTTTCTTTGTGAACATTTAGTTAATCCGTCTTATTATTGGCCTTGTTCCACATGCATTCCTTTTTTTCTCATTGTGTTTCTCGTCCACTCCCTCTCTCTGTTAAAACCTTATAATTTGACATATTTGCTCTACCCACCATTCCGTGTCCGAGATTGACAATGTGAGCTCACCGTAAAACTAACAATAAGAAACAAACTTATCCAAAGAGGTGTTAGAATGATAGACACTTTCACACGTGGCTAAATCTGTTGACTTTAAGTACAGACAAAACATGGCCAGAGCATTAAATGTTGCACACGGGATTACAGGTGTGCACCCATCACATTTCATTACTATTTGCTCAATTTTATAAGCCTTGACACTGCTTCTATAATGCATACAATAACTTCACGCCTTGATTCTCGCGTTACAATCCCTTTACATCTTCCACAAACACACCAAAAGAGCAATAAAACAACATTTTATTGATTAGTTTTCGTAGCAATATACTTTCTTTTTTGTTTGGAATTCAATCCTCTTCACAATGGATAAAGGAGTTTGGGCTTTCATGTGTCATAGCGTCACTGATCTTACGTGCCCATCGCATAACCCGAATTGAATTCCAGCCTGCAGGGTCTATAGTTCCCCCTCTCGGTTACCCTTAACGCTCCAATAACACCCTTCTTCCTCTCCTAGGGACCCCATCAGTTCTTTTCATAGTCTTTACCCACATTACATTGCACTATCAAATACAGATTAAGCCTTATTTTTAATCCTTCCGACATCAAATCCGGAGGATCGGAAATGCGTTCGTGACGTTCACAATTCACCTCAGGCTTAGTGCAGTTGGGATTTAGAACGCTTACGATATAAGCCGTTTAAAACCAATGTGTGATTGTTTAAAAACACACAATGAGCCCTGTGGTTTCTTAAATAGCAAAATTGTAATTTCTCTTGGAGGTTGCATCCAGTTTCCCTCAATCAAGCGGTATATTGTATCTTAAACGGTTTAAAGAATAAGGATCCATAAACTCGAATTTGGTGTAAACATTCATATATTTTGAGTCTCGTTATTAACAGTGGTGTGAATTACTCTCGAGACGGTAAAGATATTAGTTAACGTGTAAGAAGCTGACATGTTTATGCTGTGCAAAACAATTCTGGATAAAGTAAATCTTGGCTATAAACTGATTTTGCTGAAATAAACAGTAGGAAGTTTACTTGGGGAGAACCTGTGAAAAAGAGTAAAACCCAAGTAGCAAAATAACACGAGCGGACCTCTTAATGTGTACCGGTACAGAATGAGCCACTTAAGTATACCGATGGATATAAAAAGGGCATTATATTAACTACACAAATAATAAAACAGTTTTCACGTCATTTCATGATTAGTTTATTACAGCAGTGCCCAGTTAGAAGTTTGTTAAGCTTATTTTTTTTATCAACGCCCCTTTTTTACACAATGCTAACTTCTATATCTAATAGGCACTGCGGATGATTTAACATCAACACAAATAATTGCACCCTCGATCTGTATACGTATTCACGTTAGACCACAATAGAACGAGTTTCTTTCAAAATTCTCAATGACTTCATCCACCGTATAGATCATTGACGTCTCGATAAAAAAGGCAATAGGCGAAAAAAATTAATTCCCCAGTAAAGGTACATTGGACAGATATCGGTTCGTGCATGCATAACACTTGGATGTGATTATGTTGGGATTATATCATCGGCCTCCTTAAAACTGATGTGAACGCATTATTCATACCCGTATTACCACGCCCCTAGCAACGATACAGTTCCGCATGTTTACGCTGTAGGTCCGCATTCTTTTATATTTTACCGAGGTAGGCGTACCCAGAAGTACCTGTAAGCATACTGAAAAAAGAAGAAAAAAAATGATACAAACAATAATATGAAGGCCTGTCAATCTTTGTGCGCTCTTTTATACGGTGGTGTGTTAAAGCGCAGATCTGTATACGTTATTGGTTGAAGCATCGTTGACGAGCCGCGTTGACAATGATTGACAAACAAACACTACTGGGTACATGTATAAAGAGGAGAGAGAGAGAGAGACGGGGACCGGCGTTCACTCAAATCCCTGCCAACCAGCCTCCCTATACCTGCAGAAAAGATGAAGGTAGGTGTATATCAAGGATACAAGGAAAGGAGAGGCAAATGACATGCTTTGATTCAGCGGGGAGGTTTGTGGTTGTTTATTTGTTTATTTATTTATATGGTTTATTTTCTAAAAAGAAAATGCCCCGGCTTCTCTAAACGTTTTGTGATGAGACACTGATTGCAGGCTTAAATTGTTTTTTATAGTTAAGAAATGTACACACAAACAACTGAGAATTGATCCAATGGGCATGTTTTACATATTTTTCGAAAATTTGAATTTTAATCGTCTTCATACATGTAGGAAGTAAGGGATAAAGTAGAAACAAAATGACCTGCGTTGATTTAATTTATACAATGGAGGACGTAAAGTAGATGCCACTATACAAAATATAGCATTCCATGACAATGGAAATTTTTTTAGATTTATCTGTTCTACACATGATAAACCTCATATTTTGTGAAAAGTAGTGTGTGTGTGTGTGTGTGTGTGTGTGTGTGTGCGCGCGCGCGCGTGCGCATAAACATATTTAATAGATATAAAAGTTTTGATACAAAAAAGATGTATCAGGGGAACCCTTTAATGAAAAATTGATTTCTGGTTGTAGCCATAGCAAAAAAAAAAAAAACAAAAAAAAAACATGTATATCAGTTGCAAAGCACACATTTGATTCTTGCTAGCAGAGTTGTACTGTATATATAAATATGTAGGGAAGATCGTTCTGTTTCTACCAACATCATAATATGTGACGCAAATAAACGACAAAAAGGGATAATTCTGGACCAGCGGCATGGAAAATAATTCAGGCTTGAAAAGATGAATATGTGAACAAAGGGCCCAGTATATCAAACGCACGGGAGCCACGCTGACAGAACTGCTCAATACCAGTACTTCTGTAGGATTTTCTCTTTCTATGTAAGCTAACATTACACGATGTATACAGTAAGTAAACGAACGCCCGCATGTACCCTTAGTCTTATTTCTGCTGTGCAAATACCACGAAATATACGAGGAGTTTTCTGATGTAAAGGCGAGTTATGTTGTGTATATATATACTGTAGATTTGGTGAAAAAGTCACAAGAAATTTCTAAGGGATCTTTCGTGAAACACTGATGACGTTTTTAGTAATTCAATTTCTTCCTTCTATAAATAACTTTTATAAAAAATTATTCTGGTATTTTCCAGACAGCGTGAAAGATAGAATCCGTCTCCGACAAAAAGTCTACTGCATTTCAAATTTCGGAGAACGAAGGCTGCATGAAACAAAATTTTGCTTAAAAAGTAATTTGCCATTTGTAAACAACAAATTGTTAGTAGCGACCAATTGAATTTTGCTTTACATCACGATAAAGGGGGGTCGGATATACACTATCAAGGTCATATATCGGTGATTTTTTTCTTTAACAAAGCTCATATATGGTGTGCATGCACTTCACGTTTTAAACAAAAAACCGTCGTATTTTCGTCGTATTTTCGTTCTGTCTGAAATACAAGTACACGTCACGGTACATGCAGCAGTAAAGTATGTTTCACATTTCCACATGGAACAGTATAGTGTTCTGTAAAGCAGAATTTTGACTTGTCTTACCATGTAAATAAGCTAAGTTGGTGGGGGGGGGGGGGGCGACATCACTCCCTTGTAAAAGCTCTAAACGCTCTTATGGAATTTAATCCAGGTAACTGACTGTTTCGAGCGCGGAGGCTCTTTTTAGGTGATTCTCTTACGAGGCATATTGTCAGTCCCACAAACTGGAGCGACACAGAAAACTGTATCTCGCGGTGTGAAGAGAGTCTACGGCTTCATGTCCCTCGTGCCAGGGCTCTACGCGGCAGCTTTATTTTACTTCGACAGATATTTTTAAGGGTGACCGAATTTACACTTGTCTAGGCAAACATTTATTATGGTACACAAAGAACTGGAGTAAGACTTGATGTCTGGATTATACTCGTGAACACCTGAGGGCACAAAGCTTGGGCAGGGTGGGTGGCTTCATGCATTAAACGAAAGACAGAAAGTCCGCCTGAAAAAATGACCTTGGTTCTTTTAACAATTTTTTTTGTACCTTCACCTTGGTAAGGAAAATACATACGTGTTGTGCATGGGAAGACCTCGGAATGAAGTTGTCTCCCTGAGACGGTGGAATTATGTCTTATTTGTCGTCTTGTCAAGGCAATTAAATTCACATTATGTACATGTGTAATTTTCCATGTGAGGGCGCACGCTTTGTGTGATTGCTGGGTGATTAAATGCCAAGGAATCAGATGACAAACCACTGACGCAAGTTGGAGTTTTCAGCGTGATTCCATTTCGTTTGTCTGGCAAAGGAGCATTATTCAATTTCTTTATCCAGTGCACGTTATACGGGCGTGGCATTCCTGACCTCGCCCTTTCCATTGTTAGTGCTTGCAAGTCGGATTTTTTTGGAAAGTCTAAGACCCCATTCTCATAGACACTATCGTTCTACGGGGATCCACCCAATTCTGAGAGGACTCTTTCAGAGTGCTATCAGCATATATTTAAAGGGATAATAACTCTTCGTATGAGATTAATATTTCACAATACAAACATTGTGAATAACTCACAGAAATATAATATATTCTGTTTTACCACAAAAACGGCAGTTATAGCAATTATTCTGATATCTGAGCTTGTCTTAAGACCACGTGACCACCATTGATGGCTATACTCTGATAAAATCTCTTAAAACTTTTTAGAAAAAAAAAAAAAAAACAGGGACTAACTTTGAATGTAAAAATGGATTCATTAAGCATTGGTAAGTGTGGGAAAATTAATTTTTTGGCCAAAACGAAGATTTATTATCCCTTTAACTGAATGGCACGCCCCCTATTGTTTCCAACGAACTGGAATAATCACCAACTTTCCTGTATTCCACTCAACGCCAGGAGGAGGCATACAGATTTGTTTAACTATTTGTTTAACTATTAACTATTTAACGTGCGTGCTGTTGGAGTTGGACCGATCAAGATAGACTGGTGGCGTCTCTGGGAATGGGCCCAAACATATATAAAGCAAATATGCGCCTATATTTTCTGATGTCGCCACATCACTCAGTTTATCAATTATATTGTGGTCCAGGGTTTACCATGCCGTTGTTTACTTTAAAGGGTCGAATTCATAAAACGAAATCAAAGATGTCTTAGTTACAAAAAGGGTCAGCTATACTAGATTATGGAATGGGATCGTATAACACATTACCAATAGTCTGAAAAGATAGTTAAGGCAAAACAGATGGCTGAGCATATCTCGGTGATAAAAAGAGAAAGAAAAAAAGAAAGATATATATATATATATATATATATATATATATATATATATATATATATAATCTTTCTATATATATATATACACCATTCACATTCCATTTCTTTTTATTCAAGTCCCTGACCTTGACTTTGTTGATGCTGACCACGTGTATACTTACGGTGTCCAAGTGTGAGACGGGAAATGCCGAGATCATACGTGAACTGCAGAGCACGGTGGCCGCCTTGGGGAGGCAGCTGATAATGCAGCAGCTGTTTGTGGAGGAACGAATACGGTCTGAGGGAAGTTCTGGGCTCAAGCAGATAAGATTGCAAACAGGCGGTGAGTAGGTGATTTTGAAGGCTGGGTTTAATGTTTTTTTCAAGTCTTAAGTTTTATTGGGATGGTCAATTATACTGTATAATGCTATTCTATGCAGCTATTCTATGCGGCCATGAGAGAAAGCAATAATAATAATAATAATAATGAATAGATCAATGAATATAAAAATGAACAAATTAAAGGGTAATGTTTAAAAATGAAAGACGAAATATAAACCGGTCGTTTAAATGTCCAGAAACGACATTTCTTTCTCAGGCAGCCGACCTTATCACTCCACCACCTTCGTCGGTAACAGCCTGGCGAACATCCACGACCATATCAACTACGACCGTACCCTGGGGATGGGGGAGACGATAGCTGTACTGAACGGTGTGGAGTTCAGGACTCGGCATAATGACTACAAGCTGAAGATGCCATGTCGTAGGAAACAGACGTTGCACTGCACTGAGGATATTCCCTTTCCAAAAGTGCCCAGAAAGGTAAGTAGTACTTTATACAGTGTTGTGTAATTTTTTATGAAGAGTTTGTTATTCAATGGTAAATTACATTTGTGTCATATGTTTTTTCAATTGTTATGTGTGCGTGCAAGTACAAAGTTGTACCGAGTACTGAACCATTTATTTATTACTTAACCCATTTAATCTTAAGGGAAAACGTATAGAAATATGTGAACATAACTTTGAATGTAAAAATAGATTGATTAATCATTGGTATACGGATGGGAAAATTGTTGTTGACTCCAGGAAAATTCATTTTTTTTTTGGACAAAACGAAGAGTCATTATCCCTTTAAGGTATTAAACATTAATTTAATGATAACAAGTCTATACTAACTGAACTACATATAACAACTGTTAAAGCACCGTTGAATTTTTTTACTGCAACTGTAGTATGACATGTTTTTTCACAGGTTGCTTGCGAATGTTAATACAGCCTAGACATTAAGGCCGACTACTTTGTCCTTTATTCATTGTATAGCAATACAAGTCTTTTTAACCAAGTCCAGATTGTGTATTGTGATCTGATGGACAATGACATGCGGTATATGTGGTGATAACCAAATGCACATATTGCTGAAAACCGCGGAACTCATTTCGGCCAGTATCGCGAACTTCACTTTACGCAGCCAGCTTCGTCCATATTTCCCCAATTTCAAGTTTATAATTTTTTTTTGACACCGGCCTGTGTTTATCTTTTTAACCTTGCTGTTTATTTTCTGGTGTTAATCAGGTCATTTCAAAGGAAAGCGTCAGTGATCAAATAGCAGAGATGAAGGAATATTTCAGAGCGTGGAAAGAGCAGGTGAGACAACTACAGCTAAAAGCGAAAATTCATGGCGCTTTTTATGGTCATTTCATTTGCTTTCATTTCTGCTTTTGGAAATCAGAAAGTTTTCTGGGTCATAAGTCATGAGTACGTAGATAAGTGATGTTTATACCGAAACAGCCTGTAAATGAAATAACAACATAAGAAATGAAGGGGGACAATCAAATAATTATCAGTCCCCTCAATGGAAGTTATCTACTTTTTTCAGGATAGTTCAATACGACGTTATAGCAATTTTTTCAAGCCTGTACTTTGCTACTTGGAAGGCGCATGGATGAAAAGTTCAGGTAAAATGGTTGTTGAAGAATTAAAATGATAAATACAACGATATCACTTAAGTTATGAAAATAACTAATGAATAGTGTTATATCTAAAATAATTAAAAATACTTTTGGGGAACATTTTACAAAAATGAGACTTTTAATTAACTACATCTCTGTAGTACTGGCACCGGTTCATATACCCCGGCTGAGCATTTTGAACTCCAAAGTGGACTGCGCTTTTCAGGTTTCAGAAATATTATTACTGAAAATTACTACCTTCACTTTCCAAGACAAAAATTGCTTGATAAAGGGCTTAAGTGGAATTCACACCTTTTAAAGTGATTTTCAAAACATATACAGGCCTTCATGCATGCAACGTACCTTACTTCCTCGTCGTTTCTTACGTTTTCAGCGTCGCTCCAGGAATCCTTCGCCAGCGACCGCCACTTTCTGGACGCCACCAGTTGGTTCGACCTGCATCAGAAGGCTCGGTTCAGCGCAGCCTCTGGTCGTAAGGACAACTTAGAGAACTTCGCCTACCTCCCCGTCACGATCGCTCACCTCACCGGAATCAACGGCACCATTCCCGAGTTTGCGCAGTGGAACTATCGGATATTATGCCATCCTCTCTCCCAAGACGTGCCCTTCAACAGGTTCCGCACCGTGGACGACCTCCATTCTAGAATGGCTTTCAAAGCGGGGATTGATCAACAGACGCTGTCCAGAAGGGCAAGGTGATAAAGACCCTTCTCATGTTATTCTAGTAAAAATAAACCTGCATTTGAGTCCTGATTTATTATTCATTTAAGTCCATGTTGCTCTAACTTTTTTCGTGTGTAAAATACTTATAATTCATTATTATTCAATTATTGAATAATCTGTCCTTTACTTTATTGTTGCTCGTATTTTTGTGTTTTTACATACATGTTTTCCAGTTTAATTTTAAAGAATTTTAAAGCAAATAAGTAACTGCGTCTATTGAAGAATCAGCAAATCGATGAATTAATCCTTTGGCCTTCTTTTAATGTATATATTGTTTGCATCTGCCTCATCATTTATCTTATTTTCAAAAATATATGATCAAATAAATAATAATAATAATTATGAAAAATAATGCATGATGCAATAAATATAAACCATGTAAAAGACGAAACAATATCTGATAAACGTACCAGATGTGCTTTAAAATCTCCAATATGTTAACACCGCATTCATTTGCTGTCTAACAGATCGGCGGATGAAATATGGCTGTCCCACCTGAAAGCATGGCGCGTAATCCTCTATAAGACCCCATTTCCATAGATTTTAGATCGATCTATCCCTGTGGGGAGTCTCACTAAATTACTGTCAGCTTAGCCGGCTTAAGCATCTGTCCCGCCTACTGAAAGCTGTAAGGGGGTAATTAACTATGGTGCGCGCTCGGCTGACTGCAATTTAGCGTGAACCCCCAGGGAGTTAGGTCGATCTAAATCTTAATCCTGGATCGATCTAAATCTCTGGGAATACACCCTTAGACAGTGAATAAATTGCCCACGGGGATTAATTACGCCACAAGCTTTCAAGTGGATTGGCCACATTTCATCCACCGATCTGTTAGTCCGCGAATTAACATTGGTTGTGAATACTGCCCATGTGTGCACAGATTTCAACTGAACCCAGAGGACTCGGACCATTGGGGTGAGGGTCGTTTCTACGATTATGGTTTCTTGGACTCATTAATGGAGCAGATCCCAGGGAAAGACAACTACCGCGCCAACTTGACGGACGACCTGTTTGGTGACGTGGCCCTGCGGTATGAGGACGACGAGGACGGCAGCCCCCGTGTGCTGAACGCTGGCTTTTATCATCGCTGGTTCAAAGTTACGCAAAAGGTACCCGCTCTCTGGTGTCGCCTCTCTCTCTCTCTCTCTTAGTGATACAAAATAGCTCTTTTCATTTTATTTATTTATTGGTTAATTTATTTATTTATGTGCATACGGTCCTTTCGATTGAAAATGGTGGAATGATTTTACACCGTTACCTTATTATCCATCGCTATATTAAAATTCGAGATTCATAACAGTATCTTATCAGCCAAAAGAACATATCGTATCATCTGTAACCTTAAATAAATAATTAAACAAATAGACAAATTAAACTCTAGCGATCGAAATAGAAGCGAGCATCAATGCGACTATATTTGATAACATTGCTACATTGGTCTAAACACATATGGCTTGCTTTTTTCGCAATTTAAGTTGATTATAAGTGACATGCATTTCCATTTTTATATCGCCTAGGGGGCAGATGGCCGGAAGTTGATGCACCGTGGGTACTCTGACCAAAATGTCTTTATGGCTATGACGTCACAACCGGATGTAGTTGGGCTGAACATAACTAACTGCGCTCGGCGTGGACGAGGTGAAGTCTATTGAAAACTTGTAGTGGTCGTACATTTTAATAAATAAGGCAGTTTACAAAATCTCTGACTGTTCTTTTAAAATATTGGACATTTTATATTTCTACAGTATAATGTATATATGTACCGTGTATATAGAGGCTTCTTCTGTGGACCGTGGAATTCTTTCACCTATTTGGGAAGATCTTGGAGGTGAATCTCGTTTCCACTACTCTCTATCAGGGTTGCAGTTTTGATTATGTGCACTTTTATCTGATACAGTTCAGAGCAGAAAAGTTTCATTATTTAACTAGGGACATATTTGTGAATATCCAGTGAAAAAAAACATCTGCTGCCCTGGTATAGGGTATATTTTTACTGGGACGTGGCAGATATCTGCCATTTGCGTTAAAACAAATCTTTGTGAATATTTTGATGTTGTGATCATTATATGAAACAACCAGTAACACTGTGAACCCTCTTTTTATTTTTCTTTTTTTAAATTTATTTATTCATTTATTTTTCTGTTTTTTTAATATTCAATCTTATATTTTTCATGTTTTATGCGTGAATAGACTGTGTGACGGTCCAGCAGAAATGGACATACGCAATCCCGCTGGAGATAGTGTATATGACACCGCTAAGTAGATGGAACCCGTACGATTTGACGTTCAAAGGGCTGGCATACACCGACGAGGGGATGTCTGTGAAGGAGGGTGAGATACACGCATTGTTCTCTCTCTCTCCACGTCTTTCTCCTTTTTCTCTTTTCTATCCCATGCCCTCTTCTCTCTCCATAACTTGTTGAAAGTACTGACGATTCCCGAAATGAAGGGCTATTTGCACTGTTTAACTGATCTGTTAATACAAATGGTGTCTAAGTAATAAATTACAAAGACAAAAAATGATAAAATGAAAAAAAAAATCCCCAAAAGAAATACAGTCCAACTTCTAGACCACATTATGTCCACCATCAGTTTTCCATCCTCGGTATATGTATATTCATTTATGTATTTTACAATCTCTGACACCATTCTGTTAATTATAATTTGATGATAGGTGGTAATATTTCCAAAATAATTTTATAAAGAGTCTGTTTCAATCAGAACGACGTATCCAGATAGAAGCACAGCGGGACACGCACCGCCCCCTCTTAGCTTGTAAAGCTGCCCCTTCTTCATCTTTTAGGCCCACAAAAATGTTCCACTAGAAGAAGGATAATATCAGCCGTTGCTCCTCTATCTGTTTGCAATTTCCTTGTTATATGTTTTAAACATCCAGTACAAAATACTATTTTTCATGTTTTTATAGGAAACCGAAATGGGCAAAAAACTGTGGACAAGGCCTTTAATGGGACCAACAACGCCCTCTATTATCAAACCCCGGTAGAGATGTTTGCCAGAAAACAGAGAGGAGACACTGCCGATACCGGGAGATACGGTGTAGGCGTTCTGGATAAAAACGGTATGGGTTAATTCGTTCTTAAAATGTGTGATATTTTATTCGAGGAACCAACAACCAAAAGATTTCAGTTTCGCATTTTCATTGTGTGAAAATGATATCGTATTGGAAGAAAGGAGAACCAGTTAAAAACATTACGCCCTACATAAATTAAAATGTAAATGTACTTACACTCCTTTAGATGTGTTAAAAGACAGTGTGTTAACAAAGGAAGCTTAAAACGTTCAGTTTTCTATTTACATAAATAAAAATTTTCGTTGATATAGATCATTCAAACATAATTTGGTAGGTCTGTGTCTTTCCGCGGTAATTGTATTGTGCTGTCTAACTTTGTCCTACTTAAACCGGTAGATGCACATGTACTTGCATTAGGCCTACAACTTTTTCGTTTTCTTTACCCCGTATTGTTCTGGGCTTTATGGGATTGCAAAATAATTTCTAATAATGATATCTATTCAGCTTTTATCACATTTTATGATATGCATTTATAGTTGTATGATCTGATTTTAAGTCAAATGTTTCTTTTTCTAGGTGTAGTGAGAACAGTTGACGCGTCTGGTTTTCGAGTGAAACTGAACATTGCTGACGTAGGCGAAATACGTCAGCGATGGCCCATAATGCCTGCGTCGGTAGAGGGCAGCACGATCATGAAAGAGATAGACGCGCTCAAGGTGAGCTGAAGAGTTACACTGTTGCACTATTTTCTCAGGTTCCTTTTTTTTAGTTACTGTAGATTTCCTTCTTTGTTACCATTTTGTTTTTGTTGAAGGGAAGGTTTATTTGCTTTAAAAATACTTATCCTTATCCAATCATTGTCTGCTCATAAGGCTTGTCAGCATCATTCGCCATCTTTTTCTATCTTTTTCTATCTGTTAAATGTTTAACATTTAATATTTCCGATTGTCTGTCTGTTTACCTGGTTCGCTTTCTGTTTAGATATTTTGCTTTTCCTGCTTGCCTGTGTTTACGTTTATGAAACAAAAAAGCTGCCTGTCCGTCTGAGGCAGTTTGTCTGCCTGCCTCCTTCTTGTCAGCATATTCATACAACGAGTGCGTGCCCACCTAAACATCTTACTTTTCTACATTAACAGAACGGACTCGTAAGGCATCTATTCATTCATTCTGTGTATATTTCAGGACATGGTGATGGACCAGCAGCGGTATATTAACATGTACCGCGAGAGTCCCTTGGCTCTGGCCACGGGAACCACCATGGCCCCTGTGACTGCTGACCAAACCCTAGAGACATCGCTGTCCACGAGTGCAGTGATCAGCCAGCATAGCCACACGTATGTCTGCCTGCTAGCTGTGGCTTGGACATTACCGCTTACACGCTTCTTAGGGGCCATTCAGAATAGATGATCCGAGTGCTTACTGATCCGCCTGCTAAATATGGCCGACTTTACCGGTACTTCCCGCTGATTCCCGATGGTCTCCCCCTTCCACACGCGCCATTAAACGGATTAAAGCTTGGCTCCAAGGTTTAATGTTAGCCCCCCCCCCCCCCTGCAGCGACAGCTCGTGTGGAGGCGGGGAGACCATCGTGGTATTAGCGGCATCGCTTCTGAAGTGGATTCGGCTATATTTAGTCGGCGGATCAGTTTGTGCTCGGATCTATTCGAAATGGACCCTTAGTTTAGAGCTGCGCTGAAGGAAGCATGAGGGTGCTAACTGAGTTTGCCTGGGGCGCAAGGGTCAAATGATTTTACTTTGCTTTGCATGAAAAATCTGAAACAGTCAGCAGGAAATCGCAAGTTTCATATGTAGGCACAGGGAAAGGAACTTAAATTTTTGTCTTGATTTGCTTTTGACGCTTTAATAGGCAACATTAAGAATAGGGGACTGACTAGTCCAAGGGTCAAATATGGCGACTCACTACACATATTGCCGTCTAATCCGCTAATAGACACTGAATAGAAATCCCGTGGGGAATATTCAAGAGGGTTGGCCATATTTGACCCTCGGACTAGTCAGTCTTCTATTTTGGATGTGACCTTAGATAGAATCAAGAGAGAGAGGGGGGGGGGGAGCAAAAAGAAGGAGGGAGAAAGGGAGTTAACTAGAGATAATAATAGATCATTGCATTGTGCTTTTAAAAATGAAAAGCTTGGTCTAACTATTTTAATAAAAGTATTACACATACAGAAGATTTGTGTTTGTAATTGAGAGAACGGAACATAAAATATTTTGTTTTCTTTGCTTCAATTTTAATTTATATAAAATAATTTTCGAATCAAGATATTTTTTGAAAGTTCCACAGTGGGTGAAAATAATTAATAAATCGGTGTTTATCATTCCCCCTCCCGTTAATGAACGTTTAATTTGTGACAAAGATTTTTTGTTGTCACTATCACCCGCGTGACTGACACTCGTACTGGCACTCCTTGAATACTGGGTGCCCTAAGGAACACGGGCGCCAATGTGATACTCGCATACTTTCGTAAGTACACCACACATGATCACTTAGAGTGGCATCCGCATGCTACGGTATACTCCGCCCCCATGTCGAAGCGGTCACTTTGAGTGACATCCACATAGTATGGTATACCCCGCCCTCTAAGGGAAACGTTCACTTTGAGTGACATCCACATAGTATGGTATACCCCGCCCCCTTAGCGAAGCGGTCACTTTCGGTGACGTCCGCCTTCTATGGTTAGACACGCTGTAACTGGCTCACTCACGATTGCCCCTATACTTTATTGACACGACTTTGTCAAAGGGTTATCAACATGATTTAATAGCAATGCCCAATATGTTAGGAACCTTTCATATCTGTATTAATTGTAAAAATTTATCATGCCAAAATGTCCTTTTTCTTTACAGTTTAATGAGCTATTTATAGTCTCAATATAGACTGATTTTGTGAGATTTTAGAATTGTTACTTAGAATTCATTTTTCTGTATTCGATTATACAGCAATAGGTGTGAATGTAAATAAAAACCTGTGTATGCATTCCCGTTGTAGCTTAGTGCTGGATGCTGACAGTATCCAAAGAATGAAGGACGGAGCTAAGATCGCAGTTAGAACATCTACAGACAACGGACATTTTCACGAACTGAAAGTATTCTACAATAGCAGCATCGGCCGCTTCCAGATGTTTAAGTAAGTGACTGATATACATGTTAGCTACCTGTATGATCTTAACCCGAATCGAGTGTGACCATTAGTTCCACGTTGAAAAATGACAAAATATTGAATTTAAGAAAAATCTACTTTTCAGGCGCTTATTGGATTTCCCCTAAGTTTTGCTTTGTTAATTTAATGTTATCGTAATTAATATTGTTAGAGGTGCGGAGTGACTGAAACATACACACACACACTCACCCACATTAACAGAGAGAGAGAGAGAGAGAGAGAGAGATAGAGATACTGGTACATGTATCTTAAATACAGTATATACACTGTATGTATTAACAAAGCAGATGCGGGTAAATTAAATGATAAGATAATGCAGCTGTAATATAACAGACACGAAAAGTGATGTTTAAAGTTTATTTTAACGATATTTACTGGTGGGTCACAAAATAAACACCATTTTTTGTTACTTGTGCTTCTACTACGTACATTCATTCATTAGTGGTGAAATCTCTATCTGGAGTAAGACTAATATCCAGATAATTTGTCATATAATTCGAATTCGCTTTATTCATCTGTGGTATTGAACTCTATTGCCCCAAAGGTATAGCATGTACATGTACATTTAATATATCCTGCCTACTAGAGATCATTACACGTTATCGAACAGTCTGTCTCGTGTAACGAATTTATCATTTAGTTCTTCGAATTGCAATTTCTTCAACAGTCTCTGAATTAAGAAGTCTCATACTCGTAGAACTTCCACGTTTTATACCTAGTTTTAGTTAATCTTTACATGTGCATTTTAGCTTAATCTAATCATTTCTGTAACACAATATGTCACGCTTGAAGACAATGTTAATGCTTTCAAAACATTCATTCAATATGGCGTTTAACCAGTTATGTCAGTGGCATTGTTCTGCTGTTGTACGGTAGTAACACAATGGAATAACACCCAATAGCAGTAATCGGTCTTTTTTTTCTCTTGAGGCAACAGTACTTAAGTCCTGGCGAGTATATCCTTACCTCCTTGATCGTTTCTTAAAATAATTCTCCATTTTATTGGTCCTGGTAGTGCGTTTGCTGCTATAGATTATACCAAACAGCAGTGGCCTTTACCGGTGTGACAGGAATGATACCAGACTGGCAGTAGTCCGCTAGGAACCGTAGTCCATTCTCCATTACATTGTACAGGTGACATTAGCTCCTTACATGTACCGTATACGAACTCTTATACTCCGCCTAACCCTAACCTGCACTGCATATGGGACTCTGGACTTCCATGCCTAGCACCACCATTCCTGTCACACAAACTGTACCCTTCCATGCCAAACGTCAAGACCAAGGTTCCAATTAGTTCTCGTTAAAGTCGTTAAAATCGTTTAAGTCATACAATATATAATTGGCCCTATTTCCAGGTGTGATCTGCAAAACCACTGCTGGGATGGACATGACTCACATCTCTGGCCCTCTGACGGATAAACTGGCCTCGCAGGTCGTTACCGTAGTCAGCAAGCAAGCAGCATCTGGAAAGTTCCCCTCTCTTACCCCCCAAATTGATTTTGTTCTTAGTGAACAACAAATAACCACTGCCCATCCTGATGTGTCTACTTGATACAACGGGAAGCCCAGTACGCAAAGAACGCACTTAATTAATCATCGAAATTTATAGAGATTCTCTTTTGCTTATAGATTTTAATTTTTGTCATGATGAAACATTTTTAACTTTGTATGTAATAAGCTTAATATTACCCGGTAATTTGCTTGCTGAAATTATACAGGTTTTTTATAATGCTGCAAAAAATATATCGTTTCAACAGCTTTAAAAAAGCAGTTAAACCAATTTTGCTTATAGCAATGTAAGGTTACGAAGAAAGATTTCTTTGATTTTGCCAAAATATGTTTGTTTATGTGGTCAATTTTAGCGTCAAGTATTCCAATTAGTCCACTGGAAAAGAAAAATAATGATAAACTTCTAACATGTCTTCAGTCTTTTTAGGCCGGCAGCATTTTGTTTAGAAATACATTTTTCTGAGTGAACCAATATGCCACAATATGTGGGTATGCATTACTAAAAAGTGTCTTTTTGCTCTTTTTGTGTACGTTTCAGTAAATGCTTTTGTCAAAATAGTGAAAGTTCGTTTTTCTCTTGTTTTGTTTTGTTTTGTTTTGTATTTTTGTTTGTTTCTATTTTCATCCGTGACACATGTAGACATGTTCACACACAATCAGAACATCCACCCACGTCACGGCCTGTACAAACGTCACATACACGTCACAGTCTGCGTAAACGTCACATACACGTCACAGTCTGCGTAAACGTCACATACACGTCACAGTCTGAACAAACGTCACATACACGTCACAGTCTGCGTAAACGTCACATACACGTCAGTCTGAACAAACGTCACAAACACGTCACAGTCTGAACAAACGTTACAAACACGTCACAGTCTGTAAAAACTTCACACACCACACAGTGTGTACAAACGTAACAGTCTGCGCAAACGTCAATACACGTCACAATGCTTTTGCGCTCTACACGTGGTCTAGCACCGAACATTAACATTCTGACATGGAAACACAGAAGAACCACACAATCACGCAAGGTATCCAACGGTACCTACAAGTGGTCCACATGCATTTGTGGATCATTTCTTTGAATCATTCTTTCATGCAATTCAGCATTCATCATAATTAATAGATAATTGAACCCGTACATAAAAATATGAAAAAGGTAAGGAAAAATATTAAGTAAGGAGAAATATTTGGATATGAATACAAAAAGATACAGGGACAAATAAATAAATATATAAATAAAAAATCATGGCATGAAAAATAGTTTAATAAGAATATTGAAAAGAAAATTATTCAGTGCAATAGCGCCTTACCTTGTACTTGTATCTTCAAGGCAGACACGAGATAAACGTGGCTACGCTGAAATGTTCTTTTTAAATACCTTAAAATTGCCAAGCGTTACGTTCATCCTTTACAATTACAATAAAAAAAAATGTGCGTTTGCACTCTCTGTGCGACGGCTTAACTTAGCACCGTCCTATTTCAACATATCGAGTGTTTACAATGTACATTAACTATTGCAATATGCATATCCATTCCCATCGTTGTTCACGCATATGTTGTAAAGCAAATACCTTACACTTTCACTAATTACAGATAATAAAACGGAATCAAACGAGTAAAATGATAGGGAGTTATTGAGTGTAAGTTAAGTTTCATCAAGAGTCAACAAGTGTAGAACACGTTTTTAGTGTCAGAATAAGATGGAAAAGGTTAAAGTCAGTAAAAGTGTATGCTTTGGATATGATTCAAGTATGAGTAATTCAAAATAGCATTTTCGATAATTTTGATTGAAAACAACTCTTTTAGGGATTACCTAATAAGGAATTGTTGCATGGTGGCTTGCGACATGAGAATGGTAAATATTTTGTAATCAAGCAAAGACAATGAAAAGAAAACAAGTAAATGCATGACCAGTACGCAGGAATAGAATTAAAATACTTGTGAAATTGTATGAAAAGGCAGTCGGTAAATAAATGTAAGAAAGCTCCAGATCGTCGTTATTCTTCACTATAACACATAGGTTATTACCATGGTTACAGTGCGGTAATGTGGGAGTACACTGGGATTAGAATGGTGAAGATCCATTATCACCCGCCACGATAAATAAGCACAGCACTAAGTTAGACGACCACACCTACACTATATCTTTATCACTATGTGATATCAGAAACTGAATATGACAACCTTTTTCAAAAAATCCAAAATGGCCATCAGTTTCAAAATGGCGACCAAAAACCTTACCACAGTCCTCTTCCGCTCTATCCCACTGTCCACTGTCCAAGCACAGCCGTACCCTCTTGGTACCTCCGTCCCCGAAGCCAGTATTGTTAGTGCACTGGTACTCCACAGCTGATCCCACCTGGCGCTCAGTGGAGTTGACCACTGCATTGATAAGGCTGCTTGATATTGCTGGACACAGGATCACTGTAGCAAAACGGAATGACAGGCTAAAATATTATATGTCTCTTTATTGAATTCGAGTGTTATTCACTTTGGACACGTGTCGCATCTTTTCTAGCTTTTAAGTGGTGTTGTAAAGTAAGGTGAAAACTGTGGGCCTGAGAGGTACCAAAAATGAAAATACACCATGACCAAAATATACCAAGGACTAGACCAGCGGAAATTGCTTTAAAAACGTATGTGCAATGATTGTATAGAACGAAACGATTTTTAGGGAGAAGCAGTTGTTCGTTAATTGTAATTCTTGATAAGTCGTATCCTCCTTGTGCAAAAAAGCGACCGTTAAGCTGTGACACATCCACAAAAAGAAATAAAACAATTACACAGAGCAATGCACAAATCTCCAAATTTGTGAAACTATTTATAGCACGCGGTTTGTTAAACAGCTCACAATTTAAAAATCAAAAAATCCAAGGCAAACAAACCTTGAAATCAAAATAAATACATTTCAAAACTGTGTGGAACTTACTTTCACATGCGGACACTGAGGCAGCGGACCACTGACCCGTGGTCAAACAGGACACCGTCTTCGTCGTAGAACCGCCAGGGAATCGGTAGTGCTGTAGACAGGTGTAGGTGGCCACGGCACCCACCTCGTCACCCCCCACGACGCTGAGTGTGGTGTTGGCCGCTGTCGGGAGAGCGGAGGTACAGTGGATTGCTGGGAAAAAATCACTCAGCGTACAACACACTGTGAATGCATTGGCGGATCAAGAATTTTAATTTTGCCGTACATCAAAATGTTCATCATGTATGCATTTCTTTAATTCAAAATTTACATGGTTTATTATGTTCAACTATTTTGATTTTGATATCTTTATTATTATTATTATTATTATTATTATTATTATTATTATTATTTTGGGAGCGGGAGAAAGGCAAGAAGGAATTGCCTCCAAATTTAGATAAGGGGGGGGGGGGGGTACGTAGACTACTGTTCCCGATAAACTACTGGTAATTAAGTGAAAACCCCGAAAATACGAATTGAATGTAGGTTAGAGCACCTCATATCGAAAACTACAAACATTTAGGAGCTAAACACGAATAATGTGGCCGATATGCTATGAACCAACCATAATAAAAACAACTTCGTGGTAAGAAAGCGTCTCACGTGTAACATATCTAAACAGCGTTAGAACTATGAACTAAATAATGCGACTGGATAGTTATTACTGGAATAGATGATCATACATGTAAATGTCCACCAACCTTCACAACCGGGTGGAGGTGCAGTCCAGTTGTTAAACGTACAAGTAATCGTTTTCTCTGCCTCTATGGTTCCATTTGGCCAAACATAGCCAGGTAGGCAAGAGTAGGTCACCTGCGAGTTGTGGTTGCGGCTCGTACTGGACGCGGTTGCGTTGCCGACAGAGGGCACTTCGGGACAACGGACCTCTGGCGAATACACAAAGCGGAGTTGAAGACAAAATGGGTTAGAAAATACGTGTGTGTGTGTATAAGCTTATGTTTCCCACACTTCGTTCCTTAACATTTATGTAAAAAAGACGATAAAATGAGTTTAAATCCTTAAAATGTTTAAAGTCATACTGTGAATATACTGATGTTAAGTAGAATATGAACAGTGCTTATTTATCATGTTTGATTTATAAAGACTTAAGCATTTTGTGTATATTAACCCCAAGTTCGCCACACTGAATATCGATTCTCTCCGCCACAACGCTGCTTGGAATCGCCTGTACACGTGATGTCGCAATGAGAACTTGCTGCATACCCGTATGTTCTAACTTCATTTGCACAGCTGCAGTTGGCTGTCGACAGAAAAAATATAAACATCATTCAAATAAGTACTTATGTGGCATATAAATTTTTATGTTTCAGGTAATGATGAATTTGAAATTTGACACGTTGTGAGATTTGCAAAGACGTTTAGAGATAAAGGTCAGAACTTAAATACCATTGCAAAAACTAGTCGATTACCCATTGTAATATGGGTATACGACAATGCTTTTTTTGAGTGATTTCATACTTGTAGGAATTCCTCTAACGTACAAACCTATTGATAATTAACACAGTTTTGGAAGTGAAAAATCGCCCACAACCACCTCACCAATCATCCCTCCATCCACTCCCCATTTTGAAATTTATGTATGCATGCTTTGCTCTCCCTAGCACCATTAAGAGAAAGACCGCTACAAAACTTCCCCATACAAAAAAAAAAAAAAAAAAAAAAAGAAAAGTCCTAATCGTAACAAGATAAAACCAAGCAATACATGTATGCATTACATTATGAACTACATACATGTATTGCAATGCAATTGTTCATGTTTATTTTAATACATCATAATGTCCAATTTGACCTCCAACCCCCCTTTGAAAACCCTGGATATGACAATATTTTTTCAACACGCTGGCAACACCAGTCAACAAGATTACTTTGTATGGCACTGCTGTATAACATTGCGGTAGTTGAGACAGAACACAATCCATATGACATCTCACCTCCCTGTAGGCCAGCATACAAGAACCCCGCCGCCCTGCACAGATCTATACAATCCGACGGCAACTGGCAGCTCGTTGAAGCGCTGTGGACCATAACTTGCCCATTGGGATCTGTAGTCTCTATGACACACCCAACATACTGCAGAGAGTCTGAAAACGATTTAGATGTCCGTAAAGGCCTTGTAAACTTTATAAATATCCCGAAGTTATATTTGTTGTGTCTAGATATTCCACAAAGCTATACTTACTGTCAAAAAAAAATTCAAAATAAGATTTTTTAAAAATAAAAGGTTTAAAAAGTGTTCAGCTTGTGAGCATGTGAAACCTATAATCAAACCATCATATCCTCAGGATCCCTATGACCAGGTCAGACATACCAGAAGTCACCACCCCCATTACAACAAACAGATATTGAAAACTGATCTCAAACATCTCCACAGGAAAACAATANTCAAAAAAAAAAAAAAAAAAAAAAAAAAAAAAAACAATTAAACAAAAACTCAATTAGATATACTTGATGTCGATATTAACTTAATTCTTTTTTTTTTCTTGAGGAAAATTAGATTCGGAATATGACCTGCAAATTGTACATCCAGTAGTTACAATACAAACTGGCAACACCTTGGATACGAAATATTAACAGCGTTGGTTTATTCGAAGTGACATGCAAGCAACTTTATACTTTTGATATTACCAAGAATCCAGCACAATTGTCGATATATCGCGCTATCTACGTTGACGTATGGGTAAGTGTAAATTATTCTAACTAAGCATATATACGGCCAGACAAAAAGTAAGTGCAGTCTACAAACTCAGTGTTTGAATGTACAAAAACATACTTACGGTCAAAACTGCTGTACTTGCAGCCGTTCAACTCAAGGCGGAGACTACAATTGTTTTCACACGTCGACTTAGAAGGATACACCCGCACATATCGCGCTAGGATCGGATACGTCAGTGTGTTTAGAACGACTGCGTTGAAATTTGAATTACCAGTCAACTGAAAGAAAATATTACATTTTTTTCAACATCATTATGGAAATTCATATTTCAATATAAAAAAATCACAATGTAATCAGATGCAAAGTTTGATTACATGAATGACTGTAAAGATTCTATACTAAAATCTGCATTAGCAATGGATGTATTATAGATCTATTTATTTATTTATTTATTTATTTATTTATTTATTTATTAACTATTCATCGACACCAAAAGTGTAGTGCTAACATTCGGATCATGACCATGCATGCAAGTCTATATGGCAGGCCGAATTGTACTGGATACCCCTTCTTTACTATACGTACTCTAATAACCAGAATAAACCCAGTCAACCTTTGTTAAAACAATTGACTGTTTACGTGTAAAGACAGCCAATGTAACGTGACAGACAGTCCCCCATGATAGAGAGTGCGCTTCTTATTCATTTGTACAGGTAAGCCTCGCCCTAGATTTCGACCCACTTAGGTCAGTCTAACCCTAACCATTATGAATAAATGGAGACGAACTTTCTGTCACACGGAACCTTAGTTTCGTTACACCGCTCGGTAGCCACCACCTAAATTCATGCAACACCTCACCTGTGTTCCATTTTCATACTGTGTCCAATTTACGCCATTCTCACTGTATTCCAGAGCATAGTTCTCAACCCACTGCTGATTATCCGGGTCATTCGATCCTAGGGTAATTTAAACGGAGTTGAAATATATATTGTTCAAACAATGTGCCAAATAATGACAAACAATTGCTACTTAATTGTTATGAAATACCGACCGTAACCAGCCGACAACAGATCACACAAACAATAGCCAAGAACCATGTGCCGAGCTCATCATGCAGAAACCTAGATATTTTTGAAAAAAAATAAGCTTAATCTAACAAATCTGAATTCTTTACACGTACCTTGAGTTACCACGCCAGTTATAATATAAAGCTGATCAAAGGATACTTGGACCCAAGGCTCGGTGTCTTCATTTGCAAAATAGCAGCCACTTGGGCCATACAGGCTGAAATAAGGACAAAGGTGAAAGATTTTCATTGTCTTAGTCGGCATCTGGTTTCGTTAGTTCCGGTATCAGGGCATTTTTTTTTTTGTCATTGCCATAAAATAGTCAGTATTTTGGATGTGATTGGTTCTGCATATAATAATAATAATAATAATAATAATAATGATGATTTTTTCACATTTGACTCCTCTTTTTACTTACTATATGTTCTCAGCTGTACAATTGTTGTCTGTTGAGTTGGAATGTGTGATGGTGACGGTACTCGAGTAGGTGTGGATCAAAGGAGTGTGACACGGAGCTGAAGGTAGAGATAGATACATACACACGATACAGCTTTGTTGATAGACAAAATATTCCATTACTATGGATATGAAATTCGTGTCCATTTATGTGCATGAGAACTGATCACGTTTAGTTAAGAGAAGAGCTCATATTGACGGCCGCTAATAGACGGCGCTGGGATCGCAGTGACTATTAAATTGTCCGGATGCATATTAATTAATGCACAAATGCACAGATATAGAGTTTATGACAGGGTGAATGAATAATTGACCATTGCTCTTTTTCAATGCCTTTTTTTAGCCAAAATCTGACGTACAGAACAATACATTAATATATCGATTGCTCACGAAAAAAACGACCAATGTTTATCATAAGATACAGAGAGCAGAATCTGACCTGTAGGATTGCACTGCACTTTTCTAGATGCGGCTCCTTCTGTTTCGCTTATCCAATAATACCCTTCCAAAAGGACCCCCTGCGACGCCAGAGCCACACACGACGGTGCACGGTGATAATAGAAACCTGGATAGACAGAAACATACGTCTAACATGGGCTCAATTTGCTGAGCGAAATACGTCATAGTTTAGTATATACAGTACAAATTAGCTACGAATTTCTTGCAGCACACTATGAGAGTATTAAATCTGTCACTATAACCAGTTCACTCGTCTTCAAAATTTTGGGACACGTGCCAAAGTAAAACTTGACTTACATGTTCATGTACCAATGCAATGGACGTGTTCTTTTTTTCTCTTTTTTGTTTAATTTTAATTTCGTCGGAGAATACTACATTGTCCCCATTTTTCTTAATAGCCAAAAGCCAGAGAGGGTTAAACGCACATGTGGATATCATTTAACCATGGAGAGGCCCTTAATTGTCATTTAATTTGTGTTTAAAGGTGATTTTTTAAAGACGATATATTACAATGGATGCGTTCTCACCTATCAGGTACACATTGGCCACGTTTGTTCCGCCACAGTGTTGCATAGGGTTGTACGGACACCCCAGAGAGCATGCGCTGGAGGACTGACTTCCGGTGGGTTTGGTATCCACACACAGGCATTCATCATTGGATACAGCGGCGTAAGGCAAGTCATTCCCTTCAGTAAAGAATTACATACACGCTTAAAATTCATACAATGTGCATTGAACCTTTATATGAAAATAATAATAATAATAATAATAATACATGTAATAATAATTGTTTTCATGGACATTTCAACAACTTCATGCACATTTATAACCATGGCACATCCTATCCAAAACTATAAATATAAAATTAATAAATTCGTTTTCGACTTCTCAAGTTCTATATTTTTTCTTTTACAAATGATGACGTCAGTTTTTTTCACTATCATTATCTTTTTTTTTATTGTAGTGGTTTATTTCTGTAAATATCATTATCGTTTCAAGGGATTGCTTGAATACCATACCTCTGCAGTATTCTATGCACAGTAAACTGTTCATGAGCCTTGGGTGCGAAACTTTTGCCTGGTGTGACGACGGCTTTGTGTAACAGCCACTAAAACCTAAGAAAAATGGAGTATGTTCAGCCATTGGTTGAGTATTTCATATGACCCTATAAGGCAAATTCAAAGGTTTCTTAAAACGCGCAGGAGAAGCTGGGATATAAGTATTCAGAACAGTCATATGCATTTACTTAACCTTTGATAAAGACTTTCAATGCACGGCATGATCGATTGCAATAATTATTTTAAATTCCCCAATCCTTTCCATTCATTATCATGTGCAAGTTTTTTTTTTATCAAGAATAGTGAGAAAAAAAGAGACTCTAGTAGTTCTACTAAGTCATTGTAACATTGAACGGGATACTTACATGTAGCTGACCCGGCCCATTTTGAGAGATTAACAACCAGTCTTATTAATAAGCTGTACAACTACTTGTTCGGGCCATCTAAGTAGAGCTCCTTGCACTCGTCAAGGCCAACTGATTACCTTAACTTAACAACTGGAAGCAAACTCGCAGAGAAATTGTGAAAGGGGGTAAAACCTCCTGTAGCTTAAGTGCAATTTACAGGTAAAGACCTTTTGAAGTGGATCGATCCAGTTAAGTATACCGATCGATGCTACGAGAGTCCTAGAGCCCATTTCCATACCTAGATCGATCTAACAGTATCGACCCATCTCCGAGGGGTTTCTCGCTATAGGGCCTATTGCTTTCAGCTTTAGCGGCTTAGCTGTCTGGCGCTCCTATTGAAGCTGCTAAACGATACCTTATAACCCCCTGACGGCTTCAGTTGGCGTGCCAGACATCAGAGCTGCTTAAGCTGAAAGCAATTTAGCGAGAAACCCTCGGAGATGGGTCGATCCTGTTAGATCGATCTAGGTACTGGAACGGGGTCCTAAACATACGGCACATAATTATTTACTTGTATTTAAAATTAATCCTTACCGTAACTCGTCTCACAAAGAGCTGATCCGGCACTGTAACTAAGCTCTGTATTAATTAACGTCCAGTTAGCAAGCCTATTATAAACTACTTTCACTTTCAGCGCCGCTTTCGGAAATCCGCTATCCCAGTTGGTGTACTTCAGGAAGGAACCATCTGCAGCAGTGAAGTCAAGGCTGTAAGATGGATCAAACAACCCACACAATACGTTGGCTGAGGATGCTGTACTGTTGAACTGTAAGTATATAGTTAAATTTAATCTAAGTTATACTGTTTAAATTTTTCTTGACTTATAAATTAAGAGATTGATTATCGACAAACTTACTTTCCCGGCATGCCTCTTAAGTCAGAGTACAAATTAAATAAATATGTAAAAAGAACCCCAAAACAGCAATATCATTATATTTTGATTATAATATTTTACGTCAATAATATTTGTAACCCATTTTAAAACTTAGCCAACTTAAATTTACCATGGTTTACTTTTACAATTTATTTCATTTTTTCTCGAATTTTTTATGCACTTGTTGACTCGTATTCACATTTCGAAATCCCGTTAAACCCCCTTTACACTGGACGGCGTCCTTTCTGCTAAAACTGACATCGTCGGGGTCTTAGAAAGGAGGCACAATGCTCAGTGATCAGCTGGTTATCGGCATGTAAAGTATTATTTGTTTTTAGTCTTAAACGGGGCCCTACTAAGAGACGCAGAAAGGACGCCGTCCAGTGTAAATGGGGCTTTACATGTACCAAGCACGATACAGCATTTAAACAATTACGAGTACCGGTATTTTTTCACTTTATCTATTTAAAAAAATCCAATTTATGTCATGTACATGTATATACAACCTCACCGTAATAATATCGTTGACATGATCCTTTTCTTCTTGTACGTTGATTACGTTCAGATACCCCCCGCTGTCAATACACTGCCGTCTATAATCCCACGTGTGGGACTCACTGAATATAAACTTATAGCAACTTCCTTGAAAGCCGTAAGACCAGCCCGTCGGACACACAGTACTGTCAGATGTGGGGCCTGTGTAAATGAATTAAAAGGAAGAGAAATGAAGAACTCAATTGCTGAAGCAAATGAAATGTGATAAAATACAAATCGAAAA